AGCAGCGGTGAGGTTTTGTCCTTTCCTTTCAGATAATGACATGAGTCATCATGTTCAGGCCACCCCAAAAATGATGAACAGTTGAACAATACGAATCCCAAATGTATTTAACCACTTCCTACTGGGATGTGCTCAGCACTGACGTGGGTTGAATGCGACTTTTTGTCTGAGAATTTGAATAATACCACTTCATTTTTTTTTAGTATTGGAAATAATTCACTAGAGAATAGAAAGGTCAGATGGTGGCATGGTTTTGTTTTCCGGATCCACAGATAGTGTAATGAATCCTTCTCTCTGATACCCCTTCGTACACTTGAAACAACTACCGTGCTTTCTAATCCTCCTTTTCTCCATGAATTCTGTATTTCTTCAACTACTCTTCCTGTACTTCCATTGAGGCCCAGTATTATGTTCTTTAATGTCTATCTAGACATTTGTCATCCCAAATTGCATAGTAATTAAGGCTCATATTGAGGCTATTGTGTCCCTTGGTCTGGAACTTTGGCCGCCACGTTGTGAAACTCCAAGGGTCACCGTTTAGGTAGCATTCCCTGTGAGCAGAGTGCCCCAGAACTGTGCACTACGTTAGCCTTGTCTGAATGCTGTTCTCCTAGGAAGAACTCCAATAATGCAGTCTCTTTGGGGGGAAAAAAAATAGAACAACCTTGGAACTGCTTGTAGCTGTGTCCTGAGCATCTCCCATGAGAGGTTTCGTGCATTCCTCAAATTCAGCACCTTCAGAAACAGAACCCGTTGTCTCTGCACATTGTCCAAATAACACACACACTCACGTTCCCTTTTCCAAAACCCGTGTCTCCGGCTCTAGCATCCGTCCAGCCCGGTGCCTTCGGGCAGGCCTTCTACATACTTCTCCTGACTGTTGCACTAAGCCCCTTGCCTAGTCTCTCTGCCTCTAGTCTCTCTATTCTAACAGCAGTTTGAATAGTCCAGAGGGGGTCCTCCTCGTGTCATTTCCCTGCTTAAAAACCCCAGAGAATTCTTATGTCGGGGTAAAGACCAAAGTCCTGCATGACGAGTGTACCCTTTCACGACTGGACCCCACCTGAAGTTTCTGGCTGTCTTCTCCATTTCCTTACTGCCCTTCACGGCTTGTGTGCCCTAGTCCTGAACTTCACAGTGAGGCTGCACGTTAGAATCACCTGAAGAGCTTTCTAAACTACCAAAACGCAGTCCCTGCCCCTGATCTGACCCTTAGAGGTTGGGCTTGGGCATCAGTATTTGTTCAAAGTCCCCCAGTGAGCCTGTTGTTCACCCAGGGAGTGAACCACTAGGCTTTTGCCATCTTGTGACCATGCCGAGCTCTTATAAGCAACCTTTTGCAGAGTTTCCTCCATCTGTAATTCCTTTCTCTTTCTTTTCTGTATAATGAAACTTTGCTCATTCTTCGCTACCTCTGTACCACCTCTTCTCTGCAGGGGCGTCCCACCTCTCCTTCCTCCCAAGGGTTGGTTGCCGTCTCCACCATGTTCTTGTAGCACTTTCTGCATTTTCCATGTACATGTCAAGTGTGAGTTATTTAAAGGAAGGACCCTCGCCTTATCCATAATGTGCCCCTAAAGCCTTGCATAACGCTTGGCATCTCAGTACAGTCTGAATAAAATTATACACTGTCAACCTGACATTAATGCCTGAAGAGACACTGGTTGGATCAATTTGACAGCCGATATGTTATTACCTGAAATAAAATTAAAAAGCAACTGCCCCGGTGTGACGAGAGTCAGATCTTGCCAGAGTAATTGAATTCTGTTCTATGGCACGTTTTTGTCACCTGGCAGACTGTAACAAGGAAGAATCGTTTGGGTGATTGTGTGTTGCGTGAATGACCTACTCTGTCTTGATTTCAATGAAGTTCCTAATTCTTCCACAAATAGCTTTCTCCATGATAGTCTAGGAAGGCATTGTCCCAATTATACAATTCTAGTAGAGAAGGAAGTAACTATCAGAGAAGGGCTTCTATGATTAATAATGAATAGATATGAATCAGTAGTATAATGCCATTGCAAAAAAAAAAAAAGTGAGGGCAAAACCACATGCTGCTGGAATGAAGGTCGTTGTTAGGTGTTGGTTGCCACGGTTCATCAAGGAGAATTTGTTGGAAAATGAAGTTACGAATAATGCAGAAATCATGTCATATCAAAAACAGATGAAGATAAATATGAAAAAAAAAAAGAAAAAGAGGGGGAAAGAAGCACAGAGCCCCAAATTTGATTATGTTTTGACCCAAATACTCTTCCTATGTTATGTTGAGACACATCTTGAATCCAAAACAGCCCACCATGCGCTAACTCCCTACCTTCCCCTCCACCCCAGATTGAAGTGCCCGTGCCTTCATTTCTGCTTTCTGAAGTGGAGTGCTAGAACTCCTTAGCTTACAAAACACTGACTTCGCTTTTTCTTTTAAGACTCAGTCTTTTATGAAGAACTTTCTTGCTGCTCTCCTGAGCCTCGTGGAATCCACCCAGCCAGAAGACAGGGGGCCTTCGCCTTAACCCATCCCCAGTTCTGTACCCTCAGTGTCCTTGAAATATCTTCGTGCATATTCATGAGCCACTCCCTTCCACACCCCCTTCCTCATCCTCTGCCATGAGACTCTAAGATCTTTGGGAAAAGGGGCCATATTTTATTGGTCCCTCTATCCCCAGATGTTAACCTAGGGTCTGTCACATAGTAGGTGCTTTATAAATATGTACTAATCAGCAATGGAATACATCACTATAAAGAGCTGCTCAAGGAAGCTGTACGGAGTCTGACCCTGTAGAGCTTCGAAAGGAAGGAAACCAGGGGCCTCAAATGGTTCTTGAGGGAGTAGAATGGGTGTGTGGTGATGGAGTGGGGAGCGGAAGCTTGATCTCTAAGGCATTTCCAGTTTTATGCTAGAATATGGTGAAATCAGGCATAACCTGTACATTTCTCAAGGTTTCTCAAGGTCACGTGCAGAACATAGACTAGATTTGTTTTTTAATTTTTAATTTTGAACTGATTTTAGACTTCCAGAAAAGTCACAGAAATAGTCCAGAGGGTTCCTAGGCATTCTTCACCCAGCTCCCCCCGTTACTAACATCTTCTGTAACCACAGAGCAACGATCAAACCCAGGAAGTTAATGTTGGCACCATGCTATTAACTAAACTACAACCTTATTCAAATTTCACCAATTCTTCCACTAATGTCCTTTTCCTGTTCCGGGACCCTATCCAGGATCTCATGTTGAGTTTAGTTGTCCTGTCTCCTTAATTGGCTCTGATCCGTGACAGCTCCTTGGTCTGTCCTCTTGCCTTTTATGATCTTGACACTTTTGAAGAGTATTGGTCAGTTTTTTTAAAAAAATGTCCCACATTTTGAGTTTGAGGTTTTCTCACAAGTAGGTTGAGGTTCTGCATTTTTGACAAGAGTACCACAGAGGCGTCCCCTTCTCCGAGCACCTATCCAGGATTCGTGATGTCATGTGTCTTATGAATGGTGATGTGGAACTTGGTCACTAGGGTAAGGAGGTTTCTGCTAGATTCCTGCCCACAGAGTCACCATCTTTCCCTTTGACGTCAATAAATATCTTAAAGATACTTTGAAGCAATGCAAATAGCCTATTTCTCCTCAAACTTTTATCCACTGATATTTACATCCATCAAAGAATCTTGCCTGCAACAGATTTTACTGTGAAGTTGGGCTAGTAGTGGATGTATTTCCCTCTTTGCTTTTATATTCATTGATTGGAATTCGTCTGAAAAGAGAAGCTGCATTGACTGGACTTCAATGCAGAATGTCATGTACTTCTAATCATTATCTTCGGATCCTTTGATTCTTCAGATAATTAGTTTGTTTCATGTTCTTATTTAAGCATTTACATTTCATTAATGTTTGCCTAAAGGCATTGCAGTCATGTAAGTTATGGACTTACATTTTCTTCCATATAGGTAGACTGACTGACACTCAGTTTTATAAATGAAAATGAAAATGAAAAAAAAAAATCAAACCTGAAGATTGTCATTCAAAGTGAAGTGGGCCAGAAAGAGAAAGAAAAATGCTTTATGACATCATTTATATGAAGAATCTAAAATAATAATAATAATAATAAGGACGCAAATGAACTAAATATTAGGTTGATCTCTTGACTATGTCGACTGTCCTTTATGATTGGATTACCGCATTCTGTTGTTTCTTATTTTGTAGTTGGCTTTATTCCTTTGATAACTATGTAAGTTTAAAAAGCTAAAGATCTAACCTGTTCTTGGAAACAATAATTGGTACATATATAAAAAAAAATCAACGACTTATCTTTTAAAAAAAGCACAACTGAATGATTTTAAAGGGGGCACACCGTACATGCGGGCCTTAAAAAATGACAAGTTCTTTTTGTTCGGCTTCTGAATGTCTAACAGGAAAAATAATACTGTTGTTGCCAAGCCCCGAATAGTTCATGGAGCATGTCTTATGTTCTGTCTCAGGAGAACCTTAATTTAAGCACTTCTCGGCTTTTGTATGTTTACATGGTGAACTGCAGCTGAACTGCACGGAACACAGTGTATTTAGCATGGTGCCTCGCAGCTCAGCAATTTCTCTCCCTGGTGGTTATCGTGGGGAGTTTGCCCACAGTGATTAGTCAGCAGAAAGGCATCACGTTGCAACTGATCCATTTCTGAGCCAGGGACAAATTCACTTTCCAAGAATGCTACCTCTCGTTTTAGAAAACATTGGAAAAGAACATTATTTAAACCGGAGGTGGACACACTTTTTTCTGGAAAGGACCAGATAACAAATCTTGTAGGCTTTGCGGGCCAGCCTTCAGTCACAGCTACCCAACTCTGCTGTGTAGTGTGAACGCTGCTGCAAACAATTTGCAAATGTGTGGGCAGGGCTGTGTTCCAATTAAACTTTTTTGACAAAAACAGGTGGTGGCTGGGGCTTACCATTTGCCGGTCCCTGCTTTAGACAGACTCAGAATATACATTGTGCATTGATCTTTGTCTCTCGTTCTTCTCTACAGGCAGGGCTCATCTTTGAAAATATGTATTTGGGAGATAGTCACGTTCTTTTGAAGACCTCTTGCTGCTGCTGCTGTTGCTGCTGCCATCGAAAAATCTGGTTACACTCCGGGGAGGCCTGCTGCGGCTGCAGGACTGGTCCACCTCTGGCCTGAGATGAGTGTCCGGCCTGAGCAGGCACACCATGAATAGATACACAACCATCAAGCAACTTGGGGATGGAACCTATGGTTCCGTCCTGCTGGGAAGGAGCATTGAGTCTGGGGAACTGATTGCTATTAAAAAGTAAGTTTTAGTGGGGAGGGTATAGCTCAAATGGTAGAGCACATGCTTAGCATCCACGAGGTCCTGGGTTCAATCCCCAGTACCTCCACTGAAAAAGTAAATCAATAAATAAACCTAATTCCCTCCCCCCTGCAAAAAAAAAAAAAAAAGAACTCAAAAAAAAGTTTTATCTTTCATGCTCATGAATTCATCCTCAGTGACACACTGTCAACATAGTTTTAACTGTATGCTCCCCATTCCTCGTCTTTGAAAAGTCTCTACAGGGGAGCACATGGAGACATGCGTTGATTTCTGTGGGTTGGATGATGGGGGACTCTGGGATGCTCATGTTAGAGACTTAACCACATCCCCACGTCAGATGTGCTGCTTTGCACACAGCACTAGTGCTTTTTCCAAGGGTCTTCTCATACTGGGAGGCAGGAACGAGCAAATAAAGAAACGTGATAGGAAAGGAAACTGACACTGAGAAATTCAGTGACTTATTTCGGATCCTTTACACGTGTGACTCCGTTTGGTGACTACAGTTTTATTCCCCTCGCCCCACGTGCCCTTTGCAATCGGAGTCCAGACCCATTGTATTAGGTATCTGTTGCTGCGTAACAATTTACCCCAAAGTATTGTGGTTTACAAGAACTATCTCACGGTTTCTGTGGGTCAGGACTCTGGACATGGCTTAGCTGAGTTCTCTGCTTTGGGGTCTCTCTCATGAGGCTGCAGTCAAGGTGTTGGCCGGTGCTGGGGTCTCATCTGAAGGTTGGACTGGGGAAGGACCCAGGTCTGAGCTCACTCACATGACTGTGGGCAGCATTCAGTGTCCTGTGCTTTGTTGGACTGAGGGCCTTAGTTCCCTGCTGGCTCCTGGCTGGAGGCTGCCCTCAGTCCCTTGCCACGTGGGCCCCTGCAAAAAGTAGTTCACAACATGGCAGCTTGCTTCATCAAGGCACGGGAACCAAGAAGGCAGTGAGAGTCTTCTGCCAAGATGGAAGCAACATCTCTTATTGCATTTGTAAACTAATCACAGACGTGACATCCTCTCAAATTGCTGTATTATTTTGGTCAGAAGCAAGTCATTGAAGGAGGAGGGTTATACTAGTTGGTGAATACAAGGAGGCAGGGGGCTTTGGGGACCATTTTAGAGTCTGCCTGCCCCTCCAGCTACATTAGTTGCCTTCTCAACTTCTCCATTTGGATGCCCTGCAGACACCTCACACTCATCGCACCCAAAGCGGAACTTATATCCAGCACATTCTCTCTTGCTCCAGACCTGTTTCTCCTTCATTATTCCCTATCTTGATAAATGACACTACCATCCTCTCAAACCCCGGGAGTCCTCCCGTCTTCCCTACGTGTGCCCCAGCATTGGTTGTCTGGTCCTGGAGATTCTAACCCCCAGATGTTTATCTCATCCACCTACTTCTCTGTTTTCCCACTGCTAACCTCCCCCTCAGCCCAGTCTCACTTAGCACCTCTGCCACTACAATACTTTCCTCCCTCAGGTTCCTGGCTTCCACTCTTTCCCCTGTCCATTCCAGCCTGAAGGGATTATATTAAACATGAGTCTAGTCATCTAAAATCACTTGTGCCAAGCATTCTTTGCCGTCACGTCCCCGTGTCTGACCTGACTTGTGTGCGGTGCTGTGCCCACCTCCAGCATCCCACCTCAGGTGCACCTGGGAGACTCACCGAGGTGCTTCTGCATGGTCCGGGGAAGGTCCCCAGCAGGACTGAGCCCCTGTCACCCACCCTGGTGTCAGCTCCCTGGTGCACCCTCTCATGGGCTCACCACCGCTCTGTTCTCAGGGGTCCTGCTCCCTGCCCTGGCTTCCTGGTATGGCCTCCCAAATAAACTCCCTGCACCCAAATCCTTGCCTCAGACTCTGCTTCAGGGAACCCAGGCGAAGACAGCTTTTAATGTCCTCCTTTCAGTTTTAGGATCAAGTCCCCAGTTTTACAAATTGCCGCCTCTCTCGGCCTCTGCCTGTTTTCTTTGGCTGTGTCTCCTCTCACTGCCCGCTTGCCTGCTTTGTCCTGGTCACTCTGGCCTTTCAGCTTCTTGAACTGACGAGATGCCTTTCTGCCCTGAGCCTTCCCATACTACTCTCTACCCCACACCTCCGACCGGGCTAAATGCCCTTGGTCTTGGTTGAACCATCACTTCATTAGAGGACTGTTCCCTGAGACCCTGGTGAAGTTAGGTCACTTTGGGGTCCACTCTCAGGGTGCCCTGTCCCTTTCCTTCACGGCACTCAGCGCGGAAGATGACTGATCACCTGCCTTCCTGCTCCAAGGTCGGGTCCACTGTTTATCTCCAGTGCCTGATCAGCCCC